AGACAATGGATTTGTCAGTTAAAAATAGGAGAGGAGAGTTATTAAATGGAGAAGTTTGAGGTATTGGGACGATGGAGAATATTTTGAGGACTTGTTTTAAATGTTGATGAAGATAGGGAAGCTGTGATTTCGTGTATAGGGCAAGGAGAGGATTAACATCTTGGTAGGACGTGAGGATGAGCCAGTTGTGAGTGTGAGGGATGTTCGTGAGGGGGGTGGGGGCACAGTAGGTAAAATATAGGGGTAAGGCAGTGAAGGGATTTGATGGGTTAAAGATAGAAATGTTAAAAGAGTTGGGGATATAGGTTTGGAGTGGTTGTGTGCAATTATTTAATAAAATGTATGGAAGAAGGGTTAAGGTACCTAGGGATGCAGAGAGCATGCATAGTTCCTTTGTATAAAGGCAAAGGGGTAAAAGAGAGTGCAAAATTTATAGGGGGATAGTCTATGTTGGTGTGTACCTGGTAAAGTGTATGGTTAGAGTTATCAATTGAAAAGATTAAGAGTATAAGACGGAGTCAATTGGATATGCAGATGAACAAGGAGGCTTTTAGTGAAAGGTAGGGGGTGTGTGGACCAGGTGTTTACAGTGAAACATATAAGTGAACAGTATTTAGCTAAGGCTTAAAGAGGTCTTTGTGGCATTTATGGATTTGGAAAAAAGGCGTATGGACGGGTGGATAGGGGGGCATGTGGAGATGTTGCAAGTGTATGGTGTAGGTGGTAGTTACTGAAAGCAAGTGAAGAGTTTTTAGAGGATAGTGAGGCTCAAGTTAGAGTATCGTAGGAGAGAGGGAAATTTTTTTCCCAGTAAAGTTAGGCCTTAGTCAAGATGTGTGTGTCACCGTGGGTGTGTAAATATATTTATAGCTGGGGTTGTAAGAGAAGTAAATGCGAGGGTCTTGGCAAGAGGCGTGGAGTTAAAAGATAAAGAAATCACACACAAAGTGGAGTTGGGAGTTGTAACAGCTCTCTTTGCTGTGGACACTGTGCTCTTGGGAGATTCTGTAGGAGAAGCTGCAGAGATTGGTGGATGATTTGGTAGGGTGTGCAAAAGAAAGAAATTGAAAGTGAAGAAGGAAAGAGTAAAGGTTATGGGATAAACAAAAAGATTATGGTGATGAAAGATTGAATATCAGTTTGGAGGGAGAGAGGATGGAGGAGGTGAACGTATTTCAGATATTTGTGGAGTGACGTGTCTGGGGAATGGGTCTATGAATGATGAGGTGAATCATAGGAATTGATGAGGGAAAAAGAGTGAGTGGTGCACTTAGGAGTGCTGTGGAGACAAAGAACTTTGTCCTTGGAGGCAAAGAGGGAATGTATGAGAGTATAGTTTTACCGACGCTCTTATATGGAGTGTGAAGGCTCGTTGGGTTGATGAATGTTTGCTGCGAGGAGAAGGCTGGAAGGCTGTGGAGATGTCATGTCTGTGGGCTATGTGTGGTGTGAATATAATGGAGAGAATTCGTAGTTTGGAAGTTAGGAGTAGGTGCGGGGATTACCAAAAACTGTTGTCCAGAGGGCTGAGGAAGGGTTGTTGTGGTGTTTGGACATGGTAGAGAGAATGGAGCGAAAACAGAATGATTCAAGAGTGTATCAGTCTGTAGTGGAAAGGTAGCTGGGTAGGGGTCGGCCTAGGAGGGTTGGAGGGAGGGGGTAAAGGGAGGTTTGTCGTGCGAGGGGCAGGCTTGGACTTCCAGCAGGCATGCGTGAGCATGTATTGATAGGAGTGAATGGAGACAAATGGTTTCTAATATTGACGTGCATGTTGGAGTGTGAGCAAAGTAAACATTTATGAAGGGTTCAGGGAAACGGCAGGCCGGACTTGGAGTCTGGAGATGGGAAATTACATGCCCTGCACTCTGAAGGAGGGTGTTAATGTTGCAGTTTAAAAACTGTAGTGTAAAGCACCCTTCTGGCAAGACAGTGATGGAGTGAATGATGGTGAAAATTTTTCTTTTTCGGGCCACCCTGCCTTGGTGGGAATCGGCCAGTGTGATAATAATAATAATACATAAGTATAATTACAGTGGAACCTCGACCAACAATTTTAATCCATTCCAGAGAGCTTGCCCTTAGCCAAATTATCGTTAGCCAAATTAATTTTCCCCATAAGAAATAATGGAAATCCAATTAATCCGTTCCAGACACCCTAAGTATGAAAAAAATTTTGCACTTGAAATATACCATTTTCCTACAAGAAATAGGTTACATGCACACTAAATACTAACATGAAGAATTAAATGACACTTACCTTTATTGAAGATGTAGTGATGAGTGATGAAGATGGGAGGAAGGGAGTTTGATTGGTGTGTATTATTGTTTGGAAGGGGAATCCCTTCCATACGGAAATTTAGGGACCAAGTCTTTTCCGAAGTTTCATTCCCTTCTTTTTTTAATGCACTGGGAACATATTGACAGTCCCTGGACCTCTGTCACACCAAATATCTGTCCATAGGCTCTGTTACCTGGTGTTTCCTTTAGATTTTTTAAATGGGCCAAAACATTGTTATTGTAAAAGCCACCAGCATGGCTTTCAATTATGCTGTGTCAGGGTGATGTTCTCCATAAAAGGCTTGCACTTTGTCCAATTGTACAAATGCCCTTAATCGTTGAAGAAGGCAACTTCTCCCATCTCTCTCTCCCCTCCTCTGAAGCAATTTCCTCAGTTGTGGCCTCTTGCTGTTGCAGATGCTCTTGCAGCTCATCAGTGGTTAGTTCTTCATCGTCGTCCTCCACCAACTCTTCCACGTCCTCCCCACTAACCTCCAGCCCCATGGACTTCCCCAATGACACAATAGATTCCACAACTGGCATAGGCTCCTGAGGGTTAGCCCCAAACCCTTCAAAATCCCTCTCTTCTACACATTCTGGCCACAATTTCCTCCAAGCAGAGTTCAAGGTCCTGTTAGTCACTCCCTCCCAAGCCTTACCTATAAGGTTTATGCAACTGAGGATACTAAAGTGATCTTGCCAAAACTCTCTTAGAGCCAATTCAGTGTCTGAGGTCACTTCAAAGCACTTTTGAAACACTGCTTTGATGTACAGTTTTTTTTTTAATTTGAAATGACCTGCTGGTCCATGGGCTGGAGGAGAGGAGTGGTCTGAAGGATGAGCAGGAGCACTAATACCAGGAGGCACTTGAGGTCCAATTTATTTTAGAGGAGGTAAATTTTCACAGTGGAGCCAAACACATGATAGGACAAATCATAGAAAATGTCCCTAGTGACCCATGACTTACTGTTTGCCCTCCACATCACATACAAATTAGCCTTGACAACACTGTTTTTCTTGAACACTCTGGGATTTTCAGAGTGATACATGAGTAGAGGCTTCACTTTGCAATCCCCACTAGCATTACTACACATTAGAGTTAGCCTGTCTTTCATAGACTTGTGTCCTGGCAGTGCTTTTACTTCCTGTGTAATGTAGGTCCTGTTTGGCATTTTCTTCCAAAACAGGCTTGTTTTGTCACAATTAAACACTTGTTGGGGTTTTAATTTTTCAGTGTCTATGTACTCCTCTAATTCCTGCACATATTTTTCAGCCGCTTTTTGGTCACACTGTGTACGCCACTACGATTCAAACCAACCTTTGCTGGCCTTCAATTCACTAACAGTACCACTAGTTGAAGGCATTTTTTTAACTAAATTGTCATGCAACTGCCTTGCCTTTTCACATATTATTGACTGAGAACACTATCTCCTGATAATTGCTTTTTGTTTATCCACACCAATAACAGTCTCTCCACATCTTCGAGCATTTGCGATCTCTGTTTTGAAAACATACTTGCACCTTTTGCAACAGCAGCTTCCTTGACTGCCTTTCTGTTGGCCAAGATACTAGCGATGGTAGATTGGGGTTTGTTATACAACCTGGCCAGCTCGGAGGCATGCACTCCACTTCCATACTTTGTGATTATCTCTTTCTTCAATTCCATAGTAATTCTTGCCCTTTTTACCACAGGGTTGGCACTAGAATCTTGCTTGGGGCCCATGGTGGCTTATTTAGCAGTTACAAGCACTAAAAACACTGGAATAATACAAAATGTATTGCAGGTACACGTGGAACCATTCACAGTGGCTTGTAAACAATGGCACACTAGCTGAAGGCAGGGCAGCTGAGGTGCGCTCAGTCTGGACGGACAGGCGGACGCATTTGGGACGAATGTCCTTACCCGAATTTTTCATCGAGCCAATATTTTTACACAAAAATGCATCGTTGCCCGAGTTTAACGTTAGTCGATGCCATCGTTCGTTGAGGGTCCACTGTATCAGAGTACGTATATATAAAATATGAAATAACTTTTAAAAACACTTGAAATTTTAGTTTCCAGATACAATGGAGAGACGTAGTGCTTACGGAGCTCATGGAGAATGTAAACAAACTGGGTGGGGCACGGTGACCATATTAGAGTCAGGTGGGGGGAGCCATATAGTTTTGGTCATAATTTGAAATGACCATATTAGCGGAATGCCGTAAAGCGAAACACTGTAAAACAGGGCCCTACTGTATAAATAACATGCTGAAAATGTCTAACCAAGATATTACTCTCAGCAATGTAATAAAATTAGACAAATTTAGATGTAGAAAGGATACAGGGAAGTACTGGTTTGGGAATAGGGAATAGAGCTATAGATGAGTTTAACTCCCAGGAAGCATCACTGATGCAAGAACTTTGATTAGCCTCAAATACTGTAGGTTGAACAGGTATATAAGTGGGTGTGGTTGATTGTGAATTGTATCTCGTCAGCATTGGCCAACAGACGTACATTGCTGAGGTACCTAGCATGGTTAGATATCTATATGCAAAAAATATAAAAATACAGTCTTTGTTTACGAGCTACTACAAGGTTTAACATACAATTCAAGAAAATATTATATGGTGCAACATAATTTAAGAGGGTAACCCCAATTTCTTGAATCAAGAGCCTTCCAGCAATAAAGCACCTCACTTGGTTGGGTATTTTATTCAAAGAAAACTCTTATTCACTTACCTTTAGCACCTTCTTGTGTTCAGGAAAGGTAATGGTGAGATCGGACAAGAAAGCTGAGGACCTGAGATATGTCATGCGCTCTCTTATATTGGCCATACGGCACTGCCAGCGCTTGCTGCTTAATGTGGGTGCTGTCATTGCCACCGAAGCCCTGCAAAATGATATATTCAGTAGTAAACTCTTTGATATATCAGACCAATAGGAGGGAAGCGGGTGGCCAATAGTGGCAATAGTGGCGGACAAAGGCATTTTGCTGCAATTTTTCAACTGTGCAATAACCAAAATGTGGCAAGTAAATTCACGTAATATAACGGTCTACAGTAAATACATCCCATTTCCCAGGTGCTGTATGATCCTTACGGTTTGTTGCTTTTGAACTGTAAAATTTCAGTATACTGTACTTCAGTGACATGGATGAAAATCTGCTGGGATAGTAGATTTGGAAGCAATGGGCAATGGACATTGGTTACAGATTTGTCTGCTATTGATGTTACTACCAAATTTAGATTTTTACGTACAACACTTCGTAAAATTAACTTTACACAGTCCCATTTGTGGGTGCGGAAAGTATTTCCCCAGCTCAAGCTGCCACCTTGCTGTGGGTCAGCGGGGGAGACCTCCCGCCATCCCCAGTGGCCCAGTGGCTTGGTGGCTAATGCTCCCGCTTCACACACGGAGGGCCCGGGTTTGATTCCCGGCGGGTGGAAACATTTCAACACATTTCCTTACACCTGTTCTCCTGTTCACCTAGCAGCAAATAGGTACCTGGGTGTTAGTCGACTGATGTGGGTTGCATCCTGGGGGACAAGATTGAGGACCCCAATGGAAATAAGTTAAGAGTCCTTGATGATGCACTGACTTTCTTGGGTTATCCTGGGCGGCTAACCCTCCGGGGTTAAAAATCCGAACGAAATCCTATCTTATCTTATCTTACCCCTGCCACCCCCATCCCAGCCTTCGTGAATACGTGTCCAGTACGAATGCTCCCTACGAGCTAGCTGTGTTTATGAATTGTTTTGATCTTTTAATTGCCATATCTTGTATCTGCCAGTCATGCCACCCAGTAGGCATACCAATGTTCCAAGAAAAGGTATAAGCATTTAAGTCTTTGAGTTAACAAAGAAAACAGAGATATTAGACAAGAGATAGCCTGTGGCCGTAATGAAGCATCAGTTTGTACAATTAAAAAGAATGAGGTAAATATACGAGTTATGATGAATAACTGACGACCGTTTGACTGCCAAATGCAAACAAACCATCCCACAAGGGGGATAAAACCCCCGTCAAGGGGCCAGCTGCCCAGACTTGACGGGAAATTGACGATTTAAAAGTTAGACTTTTTCACTGAGAGGACCCTGACAAATTAGCAGTGTTGAAACAGTGTCTAGGCAGCTGATACTTTACTGTCAGCTGTATTAGTACTCCCCAGGTAAAAAAAACGAAATCCACTACAGAATTTATGCACACTCCAGTACAACCATAAACTTCAGTAAAACCTCTCCCACCGCCTCAGCCCGGAGGGCCCCAAGCAAACTTTCCCTCCCGAAAATCCAGCCCCCACAATATGGGTAAAAATATTTTTTCTGTTGCATTTGTAGTCTTAGGCAGCAAAAAATAACATAATACACCACGACAAAGAACAACAATTTAAAATTTACTTTTATTTTTGTGAGTCTGGAGGTTGAAAAATAGTTTTTTTGCTTTTTTTGGGGCTCCCAGGAAAGTAACCCTATTTTTCCCACAAGTTCTTTAGTTTTTTAAATGGGGTTTCCTTGCACTGCATTTCAGGGAAAGTACAACGTGTAAAATACGGTCTATGGTATTTATTTATTAACCCTTTTAGGGTTTTTGGTCGTACTAGTAGTTTACGTGTAGGGGTTTTTGACGTATAGTACTATTAAATTTTAGCGGCCTCAAATCTAGTGGAGAAAAGTGGTAGGCCTTCAAAAAAAGAATGGGTTATGTGGTCAGTGTGCACATCAAAAAAAAAATCCCAGCACACAGTGCTAAGGGGAAAAAAAAAAAACTTTGACCATTTTTTTTTAATAAATCGCGATTTGCAGTGTATTTTCGTATGGAAAATTAATTTTGTTTTTTCTAGTTTTCTTGGTCTCATTTTTAAGAGGGAAAAGACTATTACAGAAATAGAGATGATTTTGACTGTTTTACAAAAAAAGGGGCCCTTAAAATTTGAGCTCAAAGTAGCAAAATGTTCGATTTTTCCCAAATTTCAAAAGTAAACAAATCGTGCAAGCTGAATCACGTAAATGGTGAGTCTAATATTCTTTCACAAGTGCCCCAATAATATTTATACCATTTTTTAAAAATGCGTAGTCTGCATAACGTAAATTTTTATTTTTTTGTGAAAATAAAAATTCAAAGGGAAAAGCAAAAAAATTTAAAAAGGGGGCCCTTGAGAGTGACAAATGACTAAGGAAATGTCATTTTAGTGCCAGGATGTCTTTCTTGTTTTTTGGACCCTATTGGGAAAATTTGGGCCTTTTGAAATTTGTGTGAAATGGCAAAATTGCTAAATTTGACCACTGAAATGGATGTTAAATTTTATAAAGGGGTGGTTTTCTTGCACTCATTCGATAGAAAAAATGGAGTTCTAGGGGAAATATTCATTTTTTTTGTCGACTAGTCCAGTGAAATTGGCCCGAAAATGGGGCTAAAAGTGGGCAAAATCCCCGTGCAAAACACCCCGAGACCGCTAATTTTGCGAGAGTAATTCCGAAGTTTTCTATCAAATTTCAAACTTTTGGTGTCTTTATGATCGGAAAAGATTTTTTATCTTTTCATAAGAGAAAAAAATTTTTTTTTTTTTAAATTTGGCCGACCTGGAACGAGTTTCGGAGGGGGCCCTGTCCCCCTCAAAGGGAAAACCCATCCGTTTCCCCCCAAAGGGGAGGGGGGCCCCTGAAAAAAAAAAAGCTTTCTCATTCACTCCATCCTGTCTTCCCAGATACAGTTTTTAAAACAACAGGACCTACATTAACAGGAGGAAAAACACTCCTAGGACAAAAGCTTGAAAGACAGGCTAACCTTACTTTTGTGTAGTAATGCTAGGGGGGATTGCAGAGTGAAGCCTCTATGTGTATCATCAAACCCCAGAGCATTCGGGAAAAACAATTCCCTCAGGCAATTTGTTGTGATGTGGGGGGCAAACAGTGGGGCATGGGTCACTAGGATTTTTCTATGACTGGTTTCACCCTGTGTTTGACCCATGTGAAAAATTACCTCCGGAAAATAAATTGGACCCTTTAAAGGGCCCCCTGGTATTAGACAAAAGCTCCGGGCATCCTTCAGACTGGCAGAGCGAATTTCTGGGGTCTGACTTCTCAAAGTCAATTTTTTTCCTCCTAATTCCACTCTCCCCTGCACCCATGGAACAGATCATTTCAAAAATTCAAAAAAAACGTACACAAAAGCTATGCTTCAAAAGTTCTTTGAAAAATGACCTCAGACACTCGATGACCCTAAAAGGGGTTTTGGAAAGATTTTTCAGTATCCTCAGTTGCTAAACCTTATAGGTAAGGTTTGGGGGGGGAGGACTAAAAAAGACCCTTTAAATCTGCTTGGAGGAAACTGTCGCGAGAATTGTAAAGAGAGGGATTTTGAAGGGTTTGGGGTAACCCTCAGGAGCCCATGCCAATTTGGAAATTCTGTGGCATTGGGGGGGAAATCCTTGGGGTTTGGGGGTTAGAGGGAGGATGTGGAAAGTTGGTGGAGGAGGATGATAATGAACTAACCAGATGAGCGCAAAACATTGCAACAGTAAAAGGCCAGACTGAGGAAATTGCTTCAGAGGAGGGAGATAGAAATTGGGGAAGTTTCCTTTTTCAAAAATTAAGCAAAAGTCTGCAAGTGGTTTTAACTGCAAACCTTTATGGATGAAAATCACCCTAACACACTATTGCAAGCTGTGCGGTGACATTACAATGACAAAGTTTTTGGCCCCCTTTTAGGCAAATCTTAAAGGAACGCAAGGAAAAAGAGCTCTATACACAGATTTGTTGTGCGGAGAGGCCGTGACTCTCAAGCTTTTTCCTAGTACATTAAAAAACACGAAAGGGAAATAACCCCAGAAAAAGACTTGCACCTCAAGTCCTCATGGAAGGGGGTTCCCTTTTCCCAAAAAATAACAATGTCCATCATCTCCCCTCCTCCCTCCCACACTCTCCTAGATCTTAATAAAGGTAAGTTATTTTTTCTTCATTTAACAATAAAATAGTAGTATATTATGCTGTTCCTTTTTGTGTTAAAAAATGTTTTTTATGTGGAAAATTTTTTTTTTAACTTTGGGGTGTCAGAATGGTTTAATTTAAATTTCCATTATTCTTAGGGGGAAAAATTAAAATTTGGTAACGATAATTTTGTCTAACGATGAGTTCTCTGGAACGATTAATTCATTTGCCCAGGGGGCCACTGTATACTTTCCAAACATCCCCTACTACAGATATCAGTACTAGAATTCACCCCACTATACTGATATAAAGAATTACTATTTTAAACCCAAAGATAAAGATCCGTTGACCCTGACTAAACATATTAATTGTAGACAGAATCTCTGCTGCTAGGGTTATTTCCACAGCACTCCAGTGCTGTCCTTTCTAGGCCTGCCCAGGTGAGTGGGACGTTGGGCCCACTCTCTCTCACTTCAAGGCCTACCCTCTCTCGGGGTACAACTGCTCCCCTCCACGGACTGGCTATCAGTCATTCTCTCACTTTACCCTTTGTGTACTCACTCCATTCCAATTAAAGTCAAACTAGTCCATGGCCGAATCTTTGCTACCTACGCTACCCCCTTCCACACTAAACCGCTGTTCAATCAATCGATCAGTCAATCAATCAAGTTTATTCTCTATAAGGATTACAATGCGGGGTTTACAGATTTAGGATATTGTCTGGTTTACATGTTATAAAATACTAATTACAAAGGGGGTCACTAGGACACCTAGCATGGCTAGGCATTTTGGGCAGAGCTAAATTCTTAATTCTAAATTATGAAATAAGTTGGTATTAAGGCTAAGTGACTACATTATAGTTTGTGAGTTTAGCAATGTGAATGCTTTTGTTTTGGCACAATACATAGTTTCTATATTGGAGTGTCACAGGCAAACTTATGACTAGTTAGGATTCATTATTTTA